CCCTGCCCCGCGCCCCCAACCCCTCCCCGCCTCGCCGTGGGGTTCCCTGCAGACCCGGGGCTACAGGTCAGTCCTCTGGAGGCTGCGGACGCGTCGACCTCAGTGACGTCCCTTCTGGAAAGTAGCTGCAGGTAGATCACAGGTAGTCACGGAAGGTGGAAGGCTGCTCAGTGACTGAACATGACCGTGTCGCGTTGGAGTGAGCCCCATACCGGCCCTGACTCAGACTGCCCCAGCTGCCATGACAGTCATCGATGGACAGGGCCGACGGTCATCCCGGGCGCCGGGCAGGCGCGGCCCATCGCCAGAGGCCACTGCCTACTTGGCTGGCCCTTCCCTTTCGGGGGAGCAGGACACCCAGGGCACTGTCACCACAGAGCCAGCCCCGCGCCGGGCATCCTGCCCCCCACCCGTGGGCTGCGGGCCACGCCCGCCTCCACCGCTCACCCTGTGCCTGCTTGGCACCACGCGTGAGCACCAGACTCGTTCCGCCCACTGCTCTCTCTCCCACCGCTTTAAAAAAAAGATGTCTTTATGCACACAGAACTGGGGTGCAGGCCAGAGGTGCAGGGGTGAGGGGTCTCCAGAGACAGAGTGGGGAGCAGAAGAGGAGGACCCACCGAACCCACTGCTGAGGGGGCAGCGGGCGGGCAGGAGAGGTCCGCTGTGCCCGGGGCCCTCCCTGGCGGGGACCACCTCACGGAGCTGCGCGGTGACCCACTGAGCGTGGAGTCAGCGGCACCTACTGTGGCCACACGCTGTACCTCTCACACGACCAGACTCCACCACACTTTATCACCCCAGAAAGAACCCCCACACTGCTCCCGCCAGCCTCCACCCCCTGCTCTGGCAGCTCAGGGGAGTGGGCTGGACCCGCCGCGCCGAGTTGCTGGGGGTTTCCAAGGTTCCTGCCACTCTGGGTCGGCGCCTCACAGCTTTCTTAGGGCGAAGTGACACTCTGCCGCGCGGCTCCGGCAGCTTACCCGGCCGCCGGCCGCCAACCTCGGCCCTCGGGAATGGCACCTCGCGCTCTCAGCCCTCTCGGCCGGGGCCCAGGCCCGGGCCAGGGCTGCACGCTGGCCCAGGCCGCACCGCCGAGGGGCTGCCTGGCTGTTCCCAAGGGTGCTGCGCTTCCTTTCACCCGCTTGTTGGGTGTTTTTCTATCTTCATTGCAGAAATGTCTACTAGCATCATTTGCCCACTTTTAAATCGGGGCATTTCTCCTTGAATGTTGAGTTCTAGTAACTCTTCGAGCACTGTGGATTCTAAAGCCTCATCACATCGGTGATTTGCAAGTATTTTCTTCATGCTGTTGGCTGCCTGGATTGTGTCTCAGGCAGAGAAGTTTTGGCAAGCCTGCCTTATCTGTTTTTCCTTTTCTGCTTGTACTTTTGTTTTCATATTTAAATTAAAGCCTAAAGTCACAAATATTTGCACCTACTTTTCCCCAAACTTTCTATGGCTTAGCTCTTCACTTTTGATCTATTTCGTTTTCACATGAGGTGCTGCATCCAGTGGCCTGGCACCACCTGTTGGGAGCATAATCCTTCTCCATTGACTTGACATCTTGTCCGGAATCAAAGGACCATCGATGTCTGGGTTTATTTCTGGACTCACAACCCTACTGCATTGAGCTGTATATCCAACCGATGCCAGGACCACACAGTTTGGTTACCATAGCTTTCTAGTGAGTTTTGAAATTGGGAAACGTGAGTCCCTCAACTTTGTACTTTTTTGACATTGTAGTGGCTGGTCTGGGTCCTGACATTCCTCTCGAATCATGAGCATGAATCTTAAGACAAGCCCAGCACCAATCGCCAGTTGCCGCCATCTTAACGACAATATTACGTCCTCTAGTCTAGGGCCGCGAGCTTCCTTCCCGTTTATGCAGATGGTCTTCAATTTCATTCAACAAAAGTTTTAGTCTTCTTATGAGTTTTGCACTTTGTTAAACTAATTTCCAGATACATTGCTCTATGTGGCGCTATTGTCAGTGAAGTTGCTTAATTCCATGTTGTAATGGATCGTCCTGGTATATGGGAAGGCAATTTCGCAGAACTCATTAGCTCCAACAGATTTTTATGCTTTCCTGAGAATTCTTTGTCTGCACAGCCCAGCTCATCTTTAGAGATCGCTCTACTTTCTTCACAGCCACAACACCCTTTAGCTCCTTCTCTCGCCTCGTGGCCCTGGCTAGAAATTCCAAAGGTGCTGAATGGTTACGACTGCAGCAGACACTTTTTTCATGCTCCTGGTCTTAGGGAAAGCTTTTTGGATCGTCTCCCCTGAGCTCCCCTGAGCACGATAATGACTGGATTTTCTTAGATGCCCTTTTACCAAGAGAAAATCCCTCCGTTCCTAGTGGCTGAGTGTTTTCATCACGGAAGGTGCTGGATCGCGCCGGCTGACGTGCCCATCGGCTGCTTTCCCAGCCCCAGCCGCCGCGCCGCGGGGTGCAGTCCTTGGCAGCCACTGGGGCGCCTGGGGCCCCAGCTCCGAGGCTCTGCTCCCTTCACTCATTCTGTTTCTCGGGGGCAGGTCCCTGGCTTGGCTCACTCATCTGTCCTTTTCCTGTCCAGATGTGCTGCTGACCCTGTCTAGTGGAATTTCTGTTTCAGTTGCTTCTCAACTCCAGACGGTAGACTTGGTTCTACTGTTTCCATTGTTGCTGTTGTTGCCATTATTATTCTCATTGTTATTATTCCCTCACCCCGAGACGGTTCTCATACTTGCCTGGAGTCGTGTAGAGTCTCCATGGTGCGTTGGTCCCTTGACATAGCTGATTCAGAGTCCAGCAGCTGAGCGCCCTCAGATCACTTCCTTCAGTGGCCTTTTTCCTCTGTGTGAGCCAGTCGTGGTCAGTCCAGGCGGCTACAACCCAGCGCCGTAAACCCGAGGCTCCCAGGTGCCCGAGCTCATGGCTCAGGGTTCTGGAAGGTGGAGACTGACGCCAGGACGGCCAGCGGTCAGTCCCGGACGGGCCCGTCCACTCGCACTGCCCGCTTACCGCGGGGCCTCCTGCGCGGCCCAGGGAGGACTGGCCTCGCTAGCGGGCAGCGGCGCACGCCTGCCGCCGGGTCCCCTCTTGAAGGTGACGCCCCTGTACCCCAGGACTAGAGTCTGGGCTTCACCCATGGACCTGGTGCGGCCTGCGGGAGGGCTCAGTCCGTTTCTGGGCAGCCCCGACTACGTGGCGGGAAGGGACACGCCGTGCGCGTGTGAGGGCCTCCTGTCCTGCCCCGCCTGCGGCTCCTGCAGTGACCTTCCGAGCCGGCTGCGGTGCCGGTGTCCGTTGCTGTCCGGGTGGTTTAAGTCTGTCCAGTCATCGCGTGTGTAGCGACAGCTGGACAGACTTCTCCAAAGGCCAAGACCTCGCAACTCGGCCAGCGATGCGGGCGCCCTGGGCGCGTCGGCTCAGCCTGGGCTCCGCCCGGC